GTTATGTCTCAGTAAAGACCTTATTTTTTAAAATAAGCTTAAGTTATATAGCCTTAGGTAGGGGGAGCCAATATTTCTACCAAGGCAGTCTGGCTCCACAGCTTGCATATTTAAGTGCTCCACATTCTATGTCTCTAGTGAGAAGACATATGCTAGGTGATATTACCTTCTCATTTATTTACTCCAAGGACATAATTTGATATATGAAGAATGGCCAGACCGAATGCAGATAACTTTCCAAGAATAGTTTTCTCAAAACAGAGTTTTTGACAATAATTAATTAGTTACAATTAACTTTAATCACTGACAAGAACCTGAAAGGTATATATTTCATTGCAAAAAGTATTTGATGAGTATATTCCTAGTTAAGGAACTGAATTGTTTAACTGGCTGCCTTTGTTAGATTTCTTCATTCAAATATCAACAAATGCTTATTGATTACCTACTCTATGCCACGTCCTCTTCTAGGCATTAGAGACAGAGCTGTGGAATAGAGATACAAACTTCCTGTCCTCTGAAAACTTACATTAAAAGGGATAATAAAGAACAAATAAATGTTAGTGATAACTGTAATTAAAAGTGTATATAGGGCTACCAACTGTGGAAAGGTAGATGAAGAAAAGAGAGTGACTAGTATATAGGGAATGGATTATAGGCAGAGAAAATGAATAGTCAGAAATGTTGAGTTTTCAAGGTGCTCTGACAAAATTATAGTTCTAGATTTTGAGTGTCAGTAATCAACTTTACTCACATCTTTAATTTTACAGTAGGACCAGTTACTTAGCGTCATTGGCATATAGGAAACTATACATTTTTTGTTCTTACAACAGAAGGGGGAAAGGGAATGAGAGACAGGGAAGTAGAGGAGGCTTCATACATTTTGTTCATTTCAAAGCCACCATCAAAGATTTGAAAGACATAGGTAGGCTCATTTCTATATCCTTCCCCCCTGAATTCTGACTTGAATGCTACAAACAATTGATGGGCTCTAGATTCCTATGAGCAGCACGGGTTGTGCTCCCCAGGAGCAGATTCTAAGATGGAGATTTACATGCAACAGGCTTGTTAGAAAGTGTTCTTGGAATCTAAATTTGTGGGAAGAAAGGAAGCTAGATCGGGAGGAGGGAGAAGGCAAGGCATTGTGCATCTTCAATGGAAGGCTCAGCAACTTGCGGAGTAAAGAGCTCATAGACCAAGTTGGAGAGACAGCAGTGAGCCTTTCTACTTTCCCCTACCATTCACTGGATGCCTCTCTTTTCTCCAGAAGGTAGACATATCAGTAGGGGATGTGGTTGTCTTTAGCTGAGGCAATCCCCTAAGGAGGTTGACAGCTGAAAGCAGTCTTCTGTCAGGACTCTCAGCAGCTGTGGAATAAGCCCTGTTTTTCTGAAGGAGAATCTGAGCGGTACATTACAGTATCCCTCACAATAAACTTAGTCTGGTGATGACTCAAACTGTAGCTGCTTTTCTGGATGTTTGTGTTACTAAATGGAACAATATGGCCCCTAGAGCATTATTTGCAAAAATTGATTTAGCTACCTGCTTTCTCATCTACTGAACTGGACCTCTCAGGAAGAGATTCATAAATCTGTATTTTTATAAAGATCCCCAGTGATTACTCTATAAACAGTCTATAGACCCTCATTTTGGAAGCACTGTTTATGGTTCCATAGACCATTGTATCTCTAATTCTGGCCAGTGGGATTTAGTGGAAGTATGTGTGTCACTTCTGAGTTTTACCCTCAGAGGAGAAGGAGCACAAACTCCCCTCTCCCATTCTACATTTTTGCTGATTGGAATGAGATGGTAGGAGCTAGTGGGAACCATCATGGGCTAACAAGATGGAAGGTGGACAATGCATTCTGCAAAAAAACAGAAGAGACAGGCATAGCCATCCCTCTCTGGATCACCTACCTAGTTTTGTGTATGACAGAGAAATCCATTTCTATCTTTTAAAAGTCAGTCTTATTTTTTTTCTGTAATCAGCTTAAATCTTAGTAATATGAAGATAGTGAGTCCTCATCTTTGAACGAAGGATATGCTGTCATACTTTGTTTATTCACACTAGGAAATAGACCCACCAGATTTTGGAAACATCAAGAAACCTGTATCGATATAAATGTCTTTCTTAGGTCTACTCACTGGATGACCTAAGACCTGCAAACTCTAGAGGCACACAGACAAAATATGAGAGCAGTTCAGCTTATCGAGGTTTTGGTAAAAGCCAGCTCAATGTTTAACTCATAATCTGTGTTGATCCAATGGTTCTAGAAGAATCTACAACAGAAAAGCTAAACCTAGTGGAGGAGCCAATGACAAGTTGTAAAATGGTCATAGCAATAGAAGCTTCTGAGCTTTGGGAGTGAAATCACACTATCTCCAGAGACACTTTTTCTATTTTCAACAAATACTAGCTTTCTGGCAATACTAAAATAACAAGTGACCATGAACCAAAGCCCCTCATCTTGGAGGAGGCGTTAGATTATCTGTGTTGCCATGGATTTCAGCATTCTCAGCAGCAATCCATCATCCATCCAAAGTCATATATACAGAATAGAGTCCATTCAGGTCTCAAAGGCACAAGTCAGAAAGTGAGATCCATGCAATAATTTCTAAATGCCCACAATGTGCTACTACCTATTTGGCTGCCATATTTCTCTGAATTAATGCCTTTTTCTTGGAGGAGGAATTGTTTATAATCATTTAACACAGGATGAAAAGACTCAAAGCTAGATTGCTTATAGACCCAGTATTAGTGAAAAGTGAGCCTGTCTGAGGAGTGCTGTGAAAAACAACTGTAAAGGAGAATTCTCTGTAGCCATTGTGCTTGGCAGCAGGTTAGCCTCAAGTCAGTATTCACATGGATTTCTCAGATATAGCAAATAATTTGTATAGATGGCCCAGGACTTGAAGGGAGAAAAAATGGAGAATGCCAAGAAGGGTTGGGGGAATTGTATGAGTAATTCAGAATAGATCCATACCTGAACATAAATGGATGCTTAAAGAAGGAGGAAGCAATTGTAGCAGGAATGAGGGTCATGCATGGGTTCAGCAGCCTAAAATTCCTCCACTAAAACCACTTGGGACACCACCATGATAGTAATCATGGTATTGTGATATAAACGGAAGACAGTCATCTTCCATTTTCAAACTACCATGTCAGACAGCTACTCGGTAATAAGAAGACAACTTTGATCGTTTTCTGGTGGTGAGAAGACAGCATTTATTTCTCTGAGGTAACAAAGTATGGATTGGCATTTTCTTTTTGTGTCTAATATGCCTAGACAAGCACTTCTATCTATAGGCTTACTGAATACTCTATTCACTGCCATGAAATGCTGTGCAGCATTGCTTCTAACCAAGGAATTTATTTTCAAGTGCAGAAAAGTTCCTATAGAATAAGATCAAAGAAAACAAAGGTACATACATCAATAAATATTATGCTTTATTATTCACAGACGATAAACCTTAAAGATCAGTTTACTGAGCACTCCACGCTGATACCAGCTGAGGGATAACTACCTTCTGAGGTCTGTGTGCTAGTGGCAGAATGTAATATATTAGCTGGACTAGAAATCAACATTCATTTTATGTCCCTTGTTCTGAAAGTCCCAGCTAGCCATCTGGAGTCTCTTATAAGTCTAAAGCAGGCTTACTAAGCAGAAAATGCTGTCATTGTATTATCTGGGATGATCGATTCTGACTGTTGGGCGAAAACAGAGTTGCATGGTAAGGACTGAAATGTGGGTATATTGTTGGCTCTGTGCTCTACTATTCCCAGAGGTAAAAGTCATTGAGAAACTCCTACAATCTCACCCGCTTGGATTTTCAGGGGCTCAAGCTCCTCATAATTTTGTGAAATGATGAATTCTGGTATGCATTGAGAGTGAGAAAAACCTGGAACCAGTGACAGACATAGAGGAAAGTCAAAGTCCCCAGGACTGACTGCGGAAGTGAGATCTGTAATGCCTACTCATAAGGAGTTGTGATCCACCTTTGGTGGCAATTACCAATATACTAATACATCTGTTTTCTTCCTCACCATTAGACATACAGTGTTTGATGATAGTTAAATTTACCACTAGTCCAAGTGATATAGAAAAGTAAAAACTGGTTCATAAATAAGTTATGATAAATTGGGTTTGCCTTCATGTTGGGAAGGGGATAAGAGTGTTAATAACTGCACACATTTCACCTGTGTAAAGAATTTGTCCAAGGCATATTTGAACATGTATATTCAGGAAGAAGGATGTGTGTGAGAGGTAGCAAGGTAGTAGAAAGATAGACATAATGTTAGCCTCAACCTCTCCTTTTAGCTACCTATTTCACAGTATATAATACACAAGCATAGGACTGAGTTAGGTAGAGAATATTTATTTTGGTTTCAATATTGCAGAGTTTGTGGTACATATAGAGCATCCAGTGAGAGATGGTAAATACAAAGTTGTATCAATGTGTCTGGAACTGAGAGGCTGAGGTTGGTGACATTGACTAGAAATCCTCAGTGTGTAAATACATCTACTTAAATTGATGAAATCGGCCAAAGACTGAGTACAATGAAAAGCACAACAGGATGCGTCTGGAAAACTAAACCGTAGAGGATTGCAAGAAATAAAGCTGTCCATATGATGTAGGGGCATTAATTAAAAATGATGTCACAGAAAAAAGAAATAATGTAGAAACAAGGAGAAAACTGTCTCAAGAAAGGAAGAGTGGAAATGCTGTCAGATCCTGTAGGGAGAACTATAAGAATGCCACTGGTGAACTGGCGGGAGGAGTGGCAGCAGGATGGCAGGAGTGAGGCAACTGGCATAGGAAGTGAGAAAAGAAAACAAAGTATACGTTTTCAATAAGTTAAGGGAATGAAACGGGAGAATGGCATCAGAAGCTGAAGGATAAAAGGAAAACATATTGAAGGTCATGATGTGATCCAGTTGTTTCTGCTAGACTTGCAGAATTCTTATTGCCATAAAACAAATACCCTTGCTCCCAAATTGCTTGTAAAGTTTTGTTTATTTTTCAGATCTAGTCAACAAGAGAACAAAATTCCTCATAATGAGAACCCATTGTTTTGAGCAAGATACAAATGTTTAGTTATTCTCACTCTTTAAATGATTATTTTTGTTCACTTGTAAAATAAATACCAGGCCTGTTAAAACTGGGAAGGTGATGTCAGCATTAACTGTACATGAAGGTCATAGTTGGTTGACATATGTCTAAACAAGAGCAGGTAGTGATGTGCCTGTATTGGTAAGGGATTGTACTGCCATCAGGACAGTCAAGAACAATGTCTCGGAGTTCATAGTTTTCTTCTCGGCAGCAAAGGCATGAATGTTCCAAGAGTAAGATGTCATAATTATACCTAAAAGGAAAATAGGGTAATAAATATTTTTAGAATTTAAAAAATAAAGTGACATCAGTGCTCAAATTGTAATTGTCTAAGTGACTTAGCAAGCCTTCTAACCAATGTATTCTTTTCCTAGACCTTGCATTCCCCCGTCACTCTGAAGTTCTGATGTTGCTCAGTGATATTTGCTATGTAAGACCAAGAGAAATAAGAAATCTGAAAGAAAATTATGATCTCATAATTGGAGCATTATGGTGAAAAGAAAAGTAAAATTTTAAATATATAATGTAACATGAGATTATCTCTATATTAACCTATACAAAAAACTACTTAAAGAAAAGCATACTATCTAAATTCCAAGTTTAATTCAAGAAATTCACTTCCTTGCTTAAATATTTTTGTAATCACTGTATGAAGATGATTACATTTGCTACAAATGTATCATGGTTGGCATATTTAGAAGACTACTTCAGAATGACTCATCACTATTTTAAGTGAATATTTTAATTCTCAGATCTTAATATCTTAGATTCTTCTTTCATTAGGTCCTGATAACCTTTTAGGTGAGAGCAATACTATTTTGTTGTTTTCTGTATAATGTTTTAAAAGATTCCTTTCCTCCACAAGCTTACAAAGTTAACACATGATACACATTCAAATAACTCACTTGACAGTCTTTTCACATTCCCCTGTGCATTTTGCCATCTGAACTCTTTTCTTGCAACCACTGTAGATAACAGTCACATTTACAGGGGACGATCTGCAATTATTCTTACCTAAAACCAAATGGAAAAGAGAGTCAGAAATGAGGTTTAACAATAGCTAACCCTCCATTTTCTTAACCTATGAGTAACAGCAACTACTTCACAACATTATTGAGGAGATGAACTACCTCAGCACCCATTTACAAGGTATCTGGTTAATATGCAGATTACTGGTATCTTGTTGTTCCTGTTATCACTATCTCACTATCACATGTGAAGGGGTTGAGGGGAAAAGAGGAAGGGAGAGAGGGCAAGAAAAAGGGGTGGGTGGACTATTTTTGGCTTCCATCAAAAAAAGGGGTGGATGAATTATTTTTGACATCCATTTTCCCATCACTGATTATCCTTATGATCGAATACGCTAGTTTACAAGTTGCTGATGTCAAAAGAACAAGCTAATTTTTCCATGAAAATTTATTCCCTTGTAAACATCACTAGTTTTTACTGAGAAGAAGGTTGCAATCAACATGAATCCATAATCATAACACATTATGTACACATATCAAATGGAAGTTTATACATATAGGCTAGATTACCCATTGTGTTAAAAATACAACATACTTTCTCTTAATGATCTGCCATTTTGTTTTAAAGAAAGTAAACTTTTGTCAACAGCTTACATTTCCTCTCTATGCAGAACTTAACTTACATGTATAGCAACATTTTTTTGAATCATAGATTCTGTCTTCCTGTAGGGGGTAAGAAAAAAGAAGAAACAACTGGAAAACTTGTTCCAAATTTTTCTGCAAATAATATAACATTTCTTAATTTGTTAAAATGCATCACAAAGAGAAAATGGAACAGATGGACAATCTTATCCCAGATCTAGTAAGCAAGGGCAGGAAAGGAGAGAGATCAGCTTAGTAATAAAAATGAGACTACCATTTTTCAACAATGGGAAAAGGAAAAATAAGCTTTAAACTAAATTCCTGTTAAAAATAACATTCAGTAATAGTAAATTATTTCTCATTTACTGAAAAATAACAACGATAGTACTAAAAGACAATAGAAACTCACAATTAGGAGCTGCACCTTTGAGAAACTGATTGATAGGTTTAAAATTATAGCAAAGTAAAAGCATGATACATATTGAAATCCAGTATTAGAGCTCTAAAATAAAACTTTAAACCATATTATCAATTATATCTTCAGAAAGAAAAATAAGTTAAACCTCCCTTAATAATTGAAACTTATTAATATAAAACCTAGTAATATTTGGGGAGCATAGAAATGAAGAAAACTGTGACACAAAGAAAGATCTGAAGAACTTAGACGTGATTATATAGAGATTGGGTATTTTTATAGACAACGATTTGGGCTATTTTTAAAAGTTAGTGGGTTTTTTAGTTTATAGATAGCAACATGCTTTCTATAATAACTTACTCCTTCTACACTAGCACTAAATTAAGTTTTATAAAGGCTGCAAGACATGACAGCCTGTCTTGATATGAAAAAATATATATACTTAAAAATGAAAGGTGAACATATCTGGAATCATCTGGGCCCTGGATATAACGAATTTGTTTAAAAAGCTATACAATCTACAAGATATTTATGTCTGCTAGCCAAACATAAATAAGATGAATCTGGACTCATCTGGGCTCTGGACACAATGAATTTGTTTCAAGATCTATACAATCTACAAGATATTTATGTCCTTTAGCCAGACAAACGTTTCCATATAAAACAGAAGACAGGTTGGGTTTGTGTTTAATAGGAGAACTGAATCTCGGTGTTCATTAGTGAAGATGACTTACTTCTGCACACCAGGTCTGCTTTGGGCAGTCCTGGACTACTGCAGCAAAGCCAGTGTCTTTGCAGGAGTAGGAAACACAGGGGTTGGTGGGGTCATCAAATGAAGCACCAATCTGGGAGGAAACGAGGGGGAAGAAAACAAAGTAATTATTTCCCTTGATTTCTTTTTGAGGTTGGCAAGAATATCGGCTAAAAAATTCAAATTCATGTTTAGTGATTTTCCAGAGGCACTTTCAGTCATTAGGTTAGTAGCAAAGAAAAGATGGTTTTAAAGTCTTCCACTTCCATGAATAAACCAAATTTGTTCATTGAGAGCACAGAATGTGTCAAGATTGTCAATCCTCAAATTAAGATTTACCAAAAGGTAGTCTATTTTCAAGAAAGGTTCCTTTATAGTGATCAAGCAGTTAATCAATTAATTGTTATGCTCTAAGCTTAAAGGGAAACAAGAAATCTAAGTGGAGAAAAAAATGGCACGAAATAGGCTTATCAGGTTAAAACAAACAAGTCTCACAAGATTCCTTATTTCTGTCTTGGCCTGTATTCCTATAGTTTTAAAGCTCTCTGATATTACTTTATAATTATCTTATGTTCAATATTAAAACAGCAGTTTGAGAAACTGCATTTATTTCATGGCCTCAGACAGAATGAACTTTCTAATAAATTGGAATTTTACTACTAGAAATGATCAGACAAAACCTCCCTTTTGTTCCTTAAGTATCATCCTATTTTGTATTTAAAAACGATCACAGGTTCAAGTCAGATCAACTTTGGAAACTAAAAATTAAGAAGTCCAGGTGGAAATTCAAGTGTGATAAATGGGTTATCAACGTAAAACTCTCATCGGCTGTTTTATCTACTTCCCAATATACCACATGTATTTCATTTCAGATTTTTTAATGTTTACTCTTGCCATTTCAAGTGTGTTAATATCAATTTGAGAATCATCTGGTTTTTATGGCTTCCTTATACTTTTTTTTCTAAAAAGTTAAATTTCTGACCAAAATGTCAACTTACAGCCTTGAATATATCATGTTGCTGTAGCTGCATAATAGGGTTCTAGCCCTTCGGGTTTTCTATTTGATCTCTGACAGCTTGACCATCTGATCTTTTTGGTTATAATTACAGTTTGTTCATTGATTTGAATGTTACAAAGTATGTCTTCTCCATCTGGCAAGGCCCATGGGAAATTTTGTTCAGAAGTTATACTGCTGAGTAGTTAATGATCAAGCACTCTGTTTTCCTCCTTTGAAGAGTCATGGTGAGTGTTACATTTGATGTTCCTTTGGAAGTGAGTGGGGGGAAAAAAATGAATGGATATTTATATATATAAATATATATATAAATTATATATATATTTATATTTTATTCACACATGTTATATATATTTAGAAATATAAATTTATACATAATATAAAAACATTTATATTATGTATAAATTTATATTTAGAAATATATTTCTAAATATATATAATAAATAACATATATATATGTGTGTATATAATATATATATAATAAGCTGAAAGTCTCTTGATGTAGCCTGGTATTCAATTTATCCATATAATTAACAAAAATATATTAATGAAGAAAAGCCCTTACCTCATAATCAGTATTGTTAAATAAACATGTTGTTGGTTCTGAAAAATAAAGACATCGTTTTATTCTAAAATACTATAATTTCTATTTATAAAACAGAAATTGTAGATGAGATCATACACAGCAACCAACTATAATGTTTCTCCCCATAATATCATAGTCCTTCTTCAATCTACTGATTATATTCATAACTGTTAATTCTGGTTGTCCCTCATTCTGAAGATGGTAAGTTTTAAGAATGCAAATATTATACTAATTCTGTTTTATTTATTATACCTGCCTAGCATTCTCTTTGACAAAATTGGAAACTCAAAAAGTACCTCTTGAATATACAAATAGACAATGAACATATTCAATTAAAATAATGCATTATGAATACACACCACAGTATCCGATTTCACAGCAGGTGTCATTAGATTTGAACTTCACAAGCTTCTCGCCGGTTTTGCATGTGGGTGGAGAAGGACACTCCTCAGGTTTACAGTCTATAGTCTTTGCATCTGTACAGGTACATCTGTGGCAATTGGCAGTCCATGTGTCTCCAGGCTACATATACAAACCATGTTTAGACTTCTATTCAAATACAGGAATGAGAGCAAATTTGAATTAAAGTAGAGCCAAACTCTGTACTTACAGATTTCTCTTCTCCCAGGGGACCATGGCAAACTGTTAACATAAATGATAAATGGTAATTAAATTTGGCAAAATATAACCATCTGTTATTTATACATAACCACCAGGTGGCCAGTACTGTAATTGGCATTAGGATCTCAGAGTCCCAGAATTACAGAGGATTTTATGGTGCCTTAAGGTGAATAAAACCACAACCACCTGCTTCAAGCAAACTGTTCCCAACAGGTATATCCTATGTTTACAATCCTCAGCAAAGGATAATTCTTAATTTCTCCTGGCAGTGGCCAATAAATCTCATGGCTATTAATTGACTTACTAGTCTGACTTTTGAAGTCTGACTTCTGCTTTTTCAATCCTACAAGTCACCATGACTGCGTAATTACCAGACCCAAGGGCCCTTTCTTAGTTTAAGTTCTCTGCCATAGTTGACATTGTTAATTCTTACCTTCTTGAAAAGTGTTCTTTCTTCAGATTTAATATTCTGAAATTTTTGTCTTTACTGTCAATTTGTCTTATTCCCTCTCATTTTGCCTCTAATTCTTCCCTCTATCTCCACAATGTGCACGGTAATATCAAATAAATGGCTCTAAAATGTCCAGCTCCAGTCCAGACCTCTCTCATGGCTTTGGAACCAGTTTTCTCTCTAGCTATAGACAGAATCCAGGCAGACCTACAGAAATCTGAAACTCAATGTGCATACAACAGATTGTATCGTTCCCTCAAAACTAGCTTGTCTTCTAGACTGATTTCCTTCTGCTAAGGCTAGAGCTATACTTTAAATCAATCAAGCTTAAAATCTAGGAGCTATCTGATTTCTTCTTTCTATCACTGGCATCAAATCTACTGCCAAATCCTGTACCTTTATTCTTGCATTCATTTCTTTCTTTCCTTATTCTACTTGCTACAATGCCACTTTAAGGTCTTAGTAAATTTTCAATCTAGCATAATCTAGCTTTTTTTAAGGGGTTACTCTGACTCAGATCTCATTCTGATCCAATCAGGTAATGTAGTTTTTCTAAAGCCTAATTCTTACCTCATTATTACTTTGATAGCCCCTTAAGTTGTATAAAATAAACACTTTATTCTAGCATTCTAGCTTTCAAGATCTCTCATATTGTGACTCAAACTCACCTTCTCAACTTTGTCTCACTTCTCTCATTTACATCCCCTGTACTAGTCTATATAGTGTTCTCAAATTCCAATACTGTAAAGACATTCCTGGGGATACCTTAAAATATGCAATATAAGTGACATATGTTATGCACTCTCTGTATAATATATAGTTTATGTTTTTACGTGGAAATTTATTTTCTGCCTGATACAAACATTTCTTCTTTGGGAACCCTCTTTTCCCCACTAGGTACTAAGGTCAGAAAATTATTTTTTAGTATTTATTTTTTAATTACTGCAAAGCCTATCACATTGTCTTGAGAATGATAGGGACTTAAAGTTCTCTAAAATTACGTAACTCTAGCTAAACTGATTTTTTTTTTCTACTACAGTTCATCCTTCAAGCTGGAATTACCTAGTTTTAAAAAATGCTCACTATCAAGTGACAATATTTTGGTCAAGGTATCATAATTATATGAAACCTTTAGTAGGTAAACCTTGTTTTGATCTAAATAACAAGGCATATTTGTTTGGTTGGGCTTCATTGGTTTGCGAATGAGGAAATGAACTATTACTCAGCTTTTATTTGACAAATAAAAGCTAAGTGAATCTAATACAAGTTTTGCTATTTTATAACATTTCTGTTGCTAGTGACTTTTACAAGCCTGACCTCTGAAATTGGATTTACAAGAGAAGCCATTAATGCAGAATGATTCTGAAGTCATGGTATTCTTACCTGGAGCTGGTGGAAGTGATATTAGACATTCTGTATAAAAACAGGAACCTTAAATTAGTCTCTGAAGTTACTGAAATAGTACTGGCAACTGTAGTTATTTAATTCATTATTCTATTGCTGAAAATAATTGTCTACATAGCCAGTCTTACAAATAGATATGTTCCCATCTATCTCCCCATCCTTATCCTCGTTGCATTTGAAATTCCACTGTACAGGGTGTTGCCTTTCGACCTCAACTTTTAATGAGAGAAAAGAATCAAGAGAAGAAAACATCAAGGTAAACTCTTCAAAAATGTTGTGGAAAGCAGTTCTAATGAATGGAACAATAGAAGAGGTTAAAAAAGGAAAAAAAGATAATTCTGATACAGGATAAAATGAGTATTATTAATTACCCAGTTTTAGTCATTTAAGAGCTTTTATTCTCCTTCTTGAAATAGTTCAATTTGGCTCTATCTTCTACCCCAACAAATGCTTTAAACTGGTAACATATATCTTTTTTAGCCTTTACATATCACATATTTTGGTCAATCCAACAATTCACTCATAAATTTTAAGTTTTATTCCAAAACTTCTAAACACAAAATTGATATTTTATGCAACCTGGCCAGGCACAGTGGCTCATGCCTGTAATTGCAATACTTTGGGAGGCTGAGGTGGGCAGATCATTTGAAGCCAGGAGTTCGAGATCAGCTTGGCCAACATGGTAAAACCCCATCTATACAAAAAATACAAAAATTAGGCAGGTATGGTGGTGCTTGCCTGTAGTCCCAGCTATGAGGGAGGCTGAAGCAGGAGAATCTCTGGAACCCGAGAGGCAGAGCTTACAGTGAGCCGAGATTGTGTCACTGCACATTCTAGCCTGGGCAACAGAACAAGACTCTGTTTTTAAAAACTACCAAGAAAAAGGCTGACCTAGGAGCAATAGAATATTTGAAAAGAACTATAAATTTCTACAAGTTTAGGTAAAGTGACAACTAATAAGCCCAAAATATAGATTACAAAATGAATTAAAATATAGAAATTTGGGGGATCAAATGTCTATAACTCTTTACGTTGGGAGGCTAAGCCAGGTCCTAATTATGAATGCTTTGTAAATTAACAGAAACCAGCAAAAGGAGATAAAAAAAAGATCAATTAGGAATAAATACAGGAGAAATATTCCTTGACCAGTATTGCAAGAGTCCATTGAAGATATTTGTAAGAGGAATCAGAGAGAACAGTCTCCTAATCAATACATTGGTATCCAAGTAATTTCTCAACTATCCGATCATGTCAGTCTCTTGATCAAATCCTTAAGGGTACCCCATAAGGATAAAGCCTTGGTTAAGTTTGGTTCTTTATGAAGTTTCCTCTACTTACGTTTCCAATCTCATTTTCTCCCTGAACCTCATTCAGTCATTGCCAACATCTGGTTGATTCCTGGACTCACCCATGAGGTCTCACATCTTTCTTTCCAAGGGCTGTTTGGCAGGAATACCCTTCCCATCCATGCCAACTTTAAACTCAATCATCTCATTTCTGATGCCTTTACTCCACACTACTAATTAGTAAGCAGAAATTAACACTCTACTCTCAACCCACCCCCGGGACCACATTTTTTTGTGTGCATATTTTTGAGTATCACTAAATATATGCTATCTGTGCCCAAAAGAATTTCTTCATCCCACACACACAAAATAAAAAATGGCAAGTGCTGCAGCTTACTGATGTTTTGCTTTTAATGTCTGCTAGAGAGTTTAGCACATATAAAGTACTAAAGAAATATTAGTTGAAATAGTAACAAAGAAATTAGGGCTCTTCCTGTACTGACCTGTTTTGTTTTCAGTTTCTTTGGTTGTTACGACAGTGGTTTCTGAGAGGAAATAAAAGGATGGTATTGTGATTTTTAAAATTAGAATAACATACACATATCAAGTCTGTGTTTATGTACATGCCCAAATGATGGCACAAATTCATATTCAAGCTTTGTGTGGAACAATGTATTCCAGTTCAATTGGATCATTTCATTTTACCTGGCTGGGATACTTGTGGTCTTGTTGTGACTCCAGCTGCAACCAAGGTGGAGCCTTGCAAAAAGGAAATTTAAGACATTTTACGACAAGCACCCTTCATAATTTCCTGCTCAGAATTTTCCATCTGCATGAAGAAGTCTTTAGGAGGGGAGCCCCAGTGAAAGGCTAAACCAAAAGCTCACAAAGGGGATAAAAATGGGCATCTCTAGTGGAATTTCAAAGCTGTGTTCCAAGAGGAAGGTGAATGCTATCATCCTGGCCTCTGTCTTTCACTTCTCTCCTCCCCCTCTCCTAACTCCACTTCTTATGTGTAATCAAAGTCACACCGATCACTTACCTGTTTGCACTCCAGTTCCAGAGGTTTCTTTTACTCCTGTGGAAGCTGTGACTGCTTAAAAAGGAACAAAAGTGGTGACTACAGGGGACTGGAGAAGCTAGAGCTCAACTTCATTTAAAAACAATTTTTTATTCTGCATGTTTTAGATGGACAGATGAAACTATGTATTTTGCACATGATGTTCTGAAGAATTACGTTATGCCACCCTCTTAGCATTTTTCAAGAATATATTAACTGTAGTCACGATGTTGTACAATAGATCTCTTGAACTTACTCCTCCTGTCTAACTGAAATTTTGTAACCTTTCACCAACATCTCCCCACCATACTCAGCCCCACATATACAATGACCCCAACCCCAGTAACCACCATTCTACTCTACTCCTGTGAGAACTGCAGAAAAACTAACCTGTCTTCTGAGGTGCCACCGAGAAAAATTCATTTATTACTATTGCACTTACCAGTGGTAGGAAGTCCAGGAGCAGTGGTTGTGTCAGATGCTCCCTTGGAAGAAACTAAAATGAACAAGGGAAGAACAATAAACATTTTCTGGTCTCAGAGGAGCATTTACTTAAGACACCTCCACGTGGAACAAGAGTCTCAAAGTACTTGGAATATACTAACACATCTGCTAATGCTAGCTCATGCCCCCGCCATGGAAACACTAAGAACTTCCTATGGTAGCCATCCCTTGTTCACAGAAGATTCTCCTATGGCCCTGATACATTTTTCACTTCTGGGTGCCCTTTCTCTAAGTGATGAGAGCTTTTCTCACACTTAACTCTATACATTTTTTACTTCTGGCACCCCTTCTCTAAATGACTAAGTCAATAAAAACAAGCAATGAGGAAATGACTCCCTATTCAATAATTAGTGCTGGCATAACTGGCTAGCCATATGCAGGAGATTGAAGTTGTACCCTTTCCTTACACCATATACAAAAATCAACTAAAGATAGACTAAAGCCTTTCATTTTAAACCTAAAACTATGAAAACCCTGGAATATAGTGTAGGAAATACCATTTTGGATATAGGCCCTGGCAAAGATTTTATAACAAAGATGCCAAATTGCAACAAAACAAAATTGACAAATGGGACCTAATGCAACTAAAGAGCTTCTGCACAGCAAAAGAAACTATCAACAGGGTAAAGAGACAACCTACAGAATGGAAGAAAATACTTGCAAACTATGCATCTGGCAAAGGTGTAATACCCAGAATCCATAAGGAATATAAACAAATTAACCAGAAAAAAAAAATGGGCAAAGGACACAAACAGACATTTTCATAAGAAAGCATACACATCGCCAACAAGCATATGAAAAAATGCTTAACATTACTAATCATTAAAGAAGTGCAAATGAAAACCAAAATGAAATACCACATCACATCAGTCAGACTGGCTATTATGAAAAAATAAAAAATTAAAAAAAAATAAAAAAAAACAGGTCCTGGCAAGGCTGCAGAAAAAAGGGAATGCTTATTCATTGTTGATGTTAATGTAAATTAATCCAGCCACCATGGAAAGCAGTCTGGAGGTTTCTCAAAGAACTTAGAACTACCAGTTGACCCAGCAATCTCATTAGTGGGTATCTATCCAAAAGAAAACAAATTGTTCTACCAAAAAGACACATGCACTTGAATTTTCATCACAGCATTATTCATAGCAGCAAAGACATGGAATCAACCTAGGTGCCCATCAATGATGAACTGGATTTTTAAAATGTAGTATAAACACACCATGGAATATTATGCAAACATAAGAGAGAACCAAATTATGTTATTTGTAGCAACGCAGATGTGGCTGGAGACCATTATCCTAACTGAATTAATGCAGGAACACAAAAAATACTGCATGTTCTTACTTAGGAGTTAAACATTGGACTCATGGACATAAGGATTGCAACAATAGACACTGGGAACTACCAAAAAGGGGAAGAAGGAGAGGGGAGGGGTTGCAAAATTGACTACTGGGTACTCTGCTCAGTCCCTGGGTGATAGGATCATTCATACTCCAAACCTAAGCATCATGCAGTATACTCAGGACATGTAACAAACCTACACATGTACTCCCCAAATCTAAAATAAAAGTTGAAACAATTGAAAAAAAAAGGCTAGTGTATGGAAAAAATCAGTCGGAAGAGCAAGGGCCCAAGCTTGATTTACCTGACATAGTGTCTGTTCAAATGAAATACAAAATCCTATTTCAGCCCATCTTCCCATTCATTCATCACTACCACAAATTGAAGCAAAGAATTGTGGAGAACCCAAAGCAAACCACTGACCAGTTGCTGTTCCAACTCCAGTGGTGGCTCCAACATCTGTAGAAGCCGTAGCCTCTGAGAAGAAATAGGAGAAAGTGGTATAGAATGCAGACATTTGGAAAGATGTGTAGCAGTGTAACCTTATATAATATCTCTATGGGAGCCATCAGTCCCCAGCAGTTCAGGCAGGCAGGTTTTCCAACTCTTTCATGACTTACTTGTGTTGGAACTCCCAGGTAAACTGGTTGTGCCAGTAGTTATCCCAGTGGTAACTGAAATCACAAGAGGAGACAATCAATTTGTGAATTCCCTTTTATCTAAAATTCGGATTTGATTTAAAAAAAATAGGTTTCTCAAGTGAACTAAAAGGTTGATATCAGGAACATTTTTGCTTTAAGTGATATATCATGCATGGTCTCATTATGTCATTAATTTGCAAGTTTTAAGTAAAGGAAAATTCACAGGGAATAAACTGTTAATTTCCTGGTAATTTGTATTTAGTGACTGAGTAAAATGTCCACCAAATTCATTATAGCCAATTTGATTTAATTTAAAATGAAAAAATAATTATTTGATTGCTAGTGCTCACCTATTTTACTTCCAGCCTCAGTGGTTCCACCATTGCCCAAAGAAGTTGTGGCCTCTAAGTAAAAGGAGAAAAAAATTAAGAAGAATCCTATAACTGAGAAAATCTGGTGGTATTCCCACGGCATGGTAGGGAGTGTGTATGTTTGGGGGGAGAGGCTCAGTCACATTCCTGACTGAAGCCCCTTATATTCCTATTAGGTTACCTGTATTGGAACTTCCAGATGCAACTGTTGTGCCAGAGACTATACCAGTGGTGCCTAAAGCAGGGAGAGAGAAAGAGAGAGCCCAAATGGTGATGCATTTACCATCCTAAGAAGAGCATGGCCAACAATAACTGTCTATGACTTGAAAGCAGCAGAAGACCTTCCTTGTGCTATCCTGTCATGATGAAGTGTGTCCTCCATTTTTAAATTCAGAGTCACGGTAAACACATTAGTTCATAGTCCCGCCTTGATTATTTGCCGCCTTAGAGTTAAATGTCAGAGGTGTCTGTGTCTTTTTCATGCTGACCTATTTCACTTCCAGGGTTTTGTCTCTCAGATGTGCCACTGGTAGCTTCTAACAACAGGAAATGAAAACAATATTTCTGTAAAGGTATTCAACTGGGTTCAATAAACTTACAACATCTGAATTCCAAAATATGAGATATAAACCTCCGGAGTAACTTCTATCTGCTACCTTCAATAGGGCTATATGGATTTATGTTGCCTTTGTATGTACCAGAGTATAGCTTGAATGTTAAAAAGGGAATCTTTCTGGAATCTGAGCCTCTTTTTCTATAATTAAAGTATAAGGTTTGGACCCAGGAGAAATAATGTGATTTTATAAATATAAGCTTTGTTTAACAAATATCTCTGAAAAGACAAAAGCCCAATGTAGATTTGTAGAAACTCAAGAGCTGCCAATGCTTTGGCCAGGTGTAGCGTCTCACGCCTCTTATTCCAGCACTTTGGGAGGCCAAGGCAGGCAGGTCACTTGAGGCCAGGGGTTCAAGACCAGCCTGGCCAACATGGTGAAAACCCATCTCTACTAAAAATTCCAAAAAAAAAAAGCTGAGTGCTGTGGTGGACACCTATAATCCCAGCTACTTGGGCTGAGGTAGGAGAATTGCTTAAACCCTAGAGGTGGAATTTGCTGTAGGTCAAGGTCACACCACTATACCCCAGCCTGGGCAACAGAGTGAGACTGGCACGAGAAAATATATATTTCTCATTTCTCATTATTTCTCTCATTCATATTCATATATATATATATATATATATGAATATATATATATGTGGTTTCCAATTCCACTTTCATTGGTTATACTTCCTTCCATGGAAGTTAAAAAGAATAGAAAGAAAGAAATACAAAGAATAAAAAGAAAGAAATTAGTGAGGGCTAACAGAAAATCATCAAAAGATATAATGTGTCATTGCTGCCAAGTTAGCCCTCCAACAAGGAAAAAAAAATAGCATCTGTTTCCTCATTGACTCCCCTGTGTTGGAACTGCTAGGTGACATGTTGTTGCCAGAGACCACTCCCGTAGTACCTAAAACAAAATGGAAGGGTACCACTATATCAAGTTTATTCTTATAATAAAGGCGCATTCTAGAATAGAATGAGGCAACTACAGAATCCTTCATTATGAAAAACGACCATTTTCAGGGATGGACTGTTCCAAAGTTACTTTGTGTGTTTGCAAATGTAATGCTCCATTCTCACTATAAATTTGATGGGGGAAGGGTGCAATGTGAGGTGGTGGTGGCGTCTCAATGAGAACATCTCTTTTTCTGGGCTGTCTGTCAGGAAAACAAAGGTACTTTACTTACCTAGTTGAGTGCTAGTGACGTGGCCACCCGATATCCCTAGAAGAAGGAACAAAGCAGGATTGAATTGAATTTTCATTTGGCTAAAACATTGGTGTTGTAGAAACTGTAGTGTTCTAGAAGAGTAGAGAGACATGACACATGAGTGAGTGGTGATTTAGCATCATGGTTCTGAGGGTGGATTTTGAAGCCACAGTGCCTGAGTTGAAATCTGTTGTTTACTTGCAGTGTGATCTTCATTAAGTGAGTTAATATCTTTGAGCGACAGACTGTGGAAAGTTCTCACAGATTTTCCAGATGAGAAAACAATCCATGTTCCTCATCTGGAAAGTCTGTGAGAACATCCGTGCTTACCTCACAATTTGGGATGAGAGATGGAAGAAATAATAATGACAAAAATGTGGACTAGTGCCTGGAACATAGTTCATACTGGAAACTGTTAGCTACTATCGCTATTATTTTAAGTGAAAAGTGGACAGGTTAAGAAGCTTGTGTGCTCAGCTGTATTCATTCCATGTCCTGTGGTCCCAGTGCCTCTAAAGGATGTTGTAGCTTCTAAGAGAGAAAAGGTAGGAAAATATGAGGTGAGAGGAATTAGAATTGTGAGTAAACTAAAGGAGGCACTCTTCATAATAGCAGTGCCACGGGGGGCACTTTACTACTAAATCATTCTGTGGAGGACTCTCACCAGCCGGCAGGTTTAGGTGTGATGTCAGAAGCTACCCTAGTCTGGCTCTGTCACCCAGACTGTAGTGCAATGGCACCATCTCTCACTGCAACCTCCGCCTCCCTGGTCTAAGTGATCCTTTTGCTTCAGCCTCCTGAGTAGCTGGGATTACAGGCTCCTGCCACCACACTCGGTTAATTTGTTGTGTTTTTAGTAGAGAAGAGGTTTCACTATGTTGGCCAGGCTGGTCTCGAATTCCTGACCTCAGGTAATCCACCCACCTCGGCCTCCCACAGTGCTAGGATTACAGGGTTGAGCCACTGTGCCTGGCCTGTATTTTCTCATGCATAGTTTTATTTCCAAATCAAATAAAGATGCAAATTCCTCAACAGAGGACTCCATTTTTCTGGAATTCAATGGCAGTAAGACAAGTGGTCCACTTTGCTGCCATATTTACCTATTGTGCTTCCAGCTCCTTGGTTTGCTGATCCTCTAGTGGTAGCTCCTAAAAGGATAAACATAGAAAAACTTTTGAATATAAAGGTAGACTAGACTTATAGGAACAACGACTGTACATTTCAGTCCTTATTGTACTCAAGGAAAAACAGATTGTTTGAGGCAAATCTTCTGTGTGCATTTTGGCCTTCTGTTGAATTGAAATAGGACTCTCTGAGCCAGTAGTTCCTTCTTCTGATATACCTAAAATGGAGATATCTAAAATGGAAAAAGAAACTTTTCATACAATTATCACTTTCACTCTCATTAGCAGAGACTCTTATATGTGAGGCTTGGCCCTGGGAATGGAAGGATATCTGCCCAAGCTTATTCAAAATCAAGTAGCAAAACACTGATCCTGGATGAGAGTTCCTCAAAAGCTCCTCCTTGTAAAACTATCCTTTAAGAAGCAAAGTATAATTGTAATTTATTATCACTCAAAAATCATGCATGCACACACACACACACACACACACACAGTACACACCAGTAATTCTCACCTGTTTTCCATCCCACTACAGTGGTTCTACCGACTCCCGTGGAAGTTATGGCTTCTGGAAGAAAAAGAGAAGCAACGAGTAAAGAACGAGGATTCAGAAGGACGGGGAAATATACTGTGATGCTCTTATACAAGAAGAGCAATGTGAAGGACATTTTTGCCATCTTATTTCTAGACAGGGGGTTTCTTCTCAGCTTAGCCTACCTGTGCCGAAACTTCCTGGTGCAACAGTTGTGCTCAAGGCCACACCAGTGGTGCCTGAAACGAGAAGGCCCTGGTGTCATCATGAAGAATCTTTTGCATGGAGACGACCTAGATATAAAACAAATCTGTATTTCCAGGGCACTATCACTCATACTGTGCACTGGCCAGCTCTGGGAGGCACCATTCACATAGACTGCTTTATGTGGCTGTCCTATGAGCATGTTCTTCCATTGGCCCTTTTGCTCCTGGATTGAATTACACATCTTTCCTATGTTTTAATTATTTCATTCATTCAATAAATATTTATTGAGCCCTGTTAGTAATAGGGATCAGTTCAGTACTAGGGATCGGCTGACCTGCTTAGTACTAGGCATCAGCTTCTTTTTTCTCATGAAGCCTATCTTCTAGTAGGCTTACTTAACACATATAATGTAAAACCCTCAAATGTGAGACAAAAGAATGTCTTTAACATATTTGCCTGTTTTACTTCCAGTGACTTGATTGTCTGATGCATCAGAGATGGTTCCTGATGATTGAAAGTAGGAAAAAAGATTCTGTTTTGACCTGTAAACAATCACTGAGGCAACCATTCAGCAACTTAATATTTAAAGCTCAAAATGGAAAGCAAACAATTTCTGAGTTCATTTTAGTCATCTGTTCACCTGAGTCAGAACCTTCTGGGCCAATCTGGACTCCTGCTGATTTTGTAGTAATACCTATAATATCCACTAAGTTAATTGTCCAGGGAATTACTGCTCCTACTTCCCTCTCCAGAAATTTATGTCCTAAGGCAAGGCGCTGGAAAAGACTGGTTCAGAAGTCAACTCAGGGGTATGGATGGAAGGACTGGCGCCCCCCATAAAATAATCTTTCAGATCCCGAAGCAAACTCATGACACTACTCAATGGCTGTGCTAATCTCTGACACCCCTAGTTCTCACTGATTTCACAACAGTGACTCTGATGGCTTCTAAGGAAGCTTTGGTCTCTGGAAGAGGAAATGAAGCAGAAAGTATGTTTAGGGTTACATATTCCTCCTTGAAGTTAGATGACCGCCATTGAAAATATTCACTTACCTATAACAGAACTTCCAGGTTCAGCAGCTGTGTGAGAGATGATGCTGCTGGCACCTGGAATCACTAAGAGGAAGAAACTTAGGTCATTTTCTTTACATTAACAGAAGGGTTAAGAAGAAAATCATTGTATGTTTTTTGTTAACTCAGATGGCCTATTCCAGAATTCCTCATATACCTTTCAACAAGGATACTTCATTCCAAAAAAAGAAGGAAAAAAAAAAAAAAGCAAATGCTAAGCTCTCACATTGGAAGTCTCCTTATTCTTGAATACTGGTAAATATCAGGAAGATATTCATACTTTCCCATGCTCACCCGTTTGACTGCTGGACAGTTGGCTCCCTGGTGCAGTGGTCATGGATCCTGTAGAAGAGAAAAGAGAGCATATTCTGCTGTCTATAAATGTAAAAAATTGGGTAAAACACTATTATTCTGAAATTTGGGGGCTTGGACAAAGATTTCCATAGGAAATTACTTTGTATTTATTTCAATCAGTTTGAATTGTTAGAAATATTTCACAAACTTCCCATTTTTACCTGGGACTGTTACTGCTTCAGTGATTCCAGAGAAAGTTGTAGCCTCTGAGAAAAAGGGGGAAAAGAACAGCAGTGAGGGCAAAGATTAGAAGAATCTGAGAAAAGCATGGTAGGATCACCCAGGCAGACACCCCACTGAGGAGCCCTTTCCAAACAGTGGTTCCTCCCAGCCTGGTGCTTTACCTGAGCTGGAGCTCCCAGGGGCCACTGTTGTAGCAGAGGGCACTCCAGCTGTGCCTAGGCAGGAAAGAAAAGAAAAAGATCAACAGAGCAACACATTTGTAACCTTTAGAAGAATGTGGCCAGCATCATGTCTACCTGGGACCTTGGAGCAGCAAAAGAAACTTCCTGGATCTATAACTGACAGGAGGTGGCATTTTCTATGCTTACCATGTGCCTTTGTAAGGCCAAGGTTAATGTAGTGGCTAATGTGTCTGCTCTGATTATGTTTGCCAAGATTGAAGGTCATATCAAAGGCTTTCTCCAAGTTTACCTGTCTTACTTCCTGGTGCTCCAGCAGTGGCTCCTAACGAAAAGGAAAAGAGAAAGGAAGAAGGAGCAGGTAGTGGAAGAGGAAAAAAAAAGAAAAAGAAGAAAGGAAATTTTGAATTTTTACCCCTCAACTAAAATGTAACATCGTAATGATTTCTATGCCAAATACAAGTCAGTACTGTAATGTTATACATACTGAGTTATTTTCAAAGTAAAAAGCCTTTCAGAGGCAGAGCTACTGTTAACTCTTCTCTCTAGAGGTTTCAAACCCTGAGGCTAGTCCTAGAGAAGAAAAAGGCTTTTGGAAATTTGGGCTCAAGATGTTCCAAATCTGAAAGGAAATCCTGGTTCCTTTGAAATAGCTTCAAAAGGAAATGAAAAACTCTACTGCACATTAAAGAGATTCTTTACATAATCTATGTAAACTTCCTATATTTCAAAATTATTCCAAAATAAAAATATCATCAAAAAATGTATCTTCTAACAAATCTATCAAAATACAACAGTAAATAATGAAACCCCCATAATCTTCACATAATTTTATTTCTGCTCTGGTGGTGCTACTTCCTCCTAGGAAAGCTGTGGTCTCTTAAAGATGGAAAGAAAACCAAAATTAATTGAGTGTTAAGGAAAAGGGATGAGCTAAGCTGATGTCATTACAAGAGAAAAACCCAATTCAAACTGTCTTGCCACCTACTAAGTTAGAAAAGAAACTTTTCTGACTGTAAAAGTGATGTACATAAGTTTATTTTTTTTAATGGGGAATAAAAGGATTTTTACCCATACAGTTCTGAATTAGACTTTAGGTAGTTCTTAACTGGAATAAGTCATATAAACTTCTTAATAAAAACGTTTATAGTAGGAGCTTATCAATGATAGATATGCTCACTCCTATTATCATCATTTTCATTGATTTAAGTATCAGAATTCTCATGTGCAAGAATTTTGCCAGAGGGAGTGGGGCAGTCTCAGGGCTGGCCACAAATTGCCTTTGCTTGGATGTCCACTCTTCAAAAAAAAAAAAAATTGCCACCAGCTTCCACAGTGGAACTTGGAATTAGAGAGTGACAGGAATCAATATCTTTATTCTTTACCCAAAGTAAGAAATAAAATGGCTGAGAATGAAGGTGAGGAAACTGTGTTTTCTCAAAGTGGCAAAAAACTCTTGTTTTTATATGTTTCTGGAACCAGGAGTTGAATCTATATACGTTTTCCATGCACCATTTCTATCTCAGAAAATTTAATGACAAAAATTGTACTATCTTTATTTCTTCCTTTATATATCAATGAAAGAAAGAAAGACATTTCTCTCCAATCACCAACTGATTATCTGTGGCTTAGCTCCATGGTGAAGTATCCCTGAAGCAGAGGAAAGGAAGATAAAGGAATCTCAGTATCACATGTGGTTATTAGTAAAATCCTGCCAATCTGATAATGCTTGTTCTGAAGATACTCTTCACAGGAAGTACAAACATTAGGTGTGATTCAGGAGATGTGGTCTACTGGGAAGCAGGAAGTGCTTCATCAGGGCTTACCTGCAGTGGGTCCAGTGCCAGTCACTCCACTTGCTCCAGGAGAAGTTGTAGCTGCTGAGAGAGCAGAAAAAAAAATAGAAAAAATTCTGGGATTTAAAAAGGAAATGGTGCGGCTTTTGCATAGAAGCAGCAAAAGGGAAGACATATTATTGTAGAAAGCAGCCAAGAAATGGCTATGTGGCAAATCGTGGACTCACCTGTGCTGAAACTTCCAGGGGCAACCATTGTGCCAGGTGCCACCCCAGAGGTGCCTGAAACACAAACGGATTGGGGTGACCATGCTGAGTAAGTCAAAGGAAGACCTAAATCTAAAAGGAATATACTATATTTATTTTCCATAAAAGAAGTCATTTTCCCTGAAAAGCAGTTGGTGAACTAGATGCATCTGCCTGCTTTCAATGCTTCACAACTAGAGCAGATAGAGACAGCATCCTCAGCTTCAGGCACTTCTGGAGTTTGATAAAAGGGAAACTAGACGGGTTCCCCCAGTGCTCACCTGCTTGCTTTCCTGGAGCTGTCGTGATGCCTGCTGTGAGACAGAAAGGAGGGGAAATGTTTTAAATGTGCTGAAACCATCAGATGTAGGAGAAGATAAAGAGCAAGAAAATGTGTAAGTATGCACACGTATATAAATGCATGCATCCTGAGTCCATGGGGCTCTTTTGTATTTCACACACTCTCATGGAAAACTTTCTGAATTCCACCTCAAATGCTAGTGACAGTTGTGATACAAGTGGAGAAATTCCATTCCATCCTCAGACATAAAGCTGTAAGTCTCCATTCTAGAATTATTAGATTTCAAAAAAAAAATGTATCTCCACCAGCAAAACTATTTTGAATCTCTTGCAGCATCCTTAAATAAAACACAAACTGTCTCAAGGAAAGCTTAAGAGACCTAATACTTAGGGGTTGTTTCTTCTCACCAGTTTTGAATCCAGTTCCATAAGTACCAGTCTCTTCAATGGAAGTTGTAGTCTCTGAGGGAAAAAACAGAGTGGTGAAGTCTGTGAATCTGGAATACTGGGAGAGGATACTGGGTTGGTATTTTATTATAGCAGCTCTAAAAGACATAGCATGACATTTGACATTAAGTAAGACATATTTCCTTCTTGTTAGGCTACCTGTGTTAGAACTTCCAGATATAATGGTCATTCTAGAAGATTTTCCAGTGATACCTGAAATTGAAAAAAAAGGGAAATGGAATAATAGAGCATTGTCTCCCCAATTAAGCTTGGAAGCATCAACATGGCAGCCCTAAAGACTGGAAGCCCTTTCCTGGAAGGGAAGTGGGGGCAATCTCAGGGCAGCCCACAAATTGCCTTTGCTTGGATGTTGCCTCTTCAAAAAAAAATAAATAACAGCTACCACATTGGAACTTGGAGAGTGACAGGAATCAATATCTGTATTCTTTATCCAAAATATATATATATGAACAACTTCCTGGCACTTCATTTTCCAGGCCAACCAGAGATGAATGTGTTGCTAACTGGGTTTCTCTTTCACTATGACACAAGGGTAGAGTAGAGTTTAAATCACCCTAACCTGTTTCCTTTCTAGGAGCATATCCCTCTGGTGGGACAGAGGTGCCTACAGAGGAAACAAAGCATACTTTTATCTTTATAAGTAGAATTCTTTGATACAACTTGGGGCATTTAATAATCAATTGTCTTCATGAAGCTTTCTGGAGAGGGGAGCGGGGAAACAAACATCTTGTAAAAGTAAATGAGAAACAAAGTGTCAAGCTGCGGGTGGAAAAGTAAACTGGGAAAATGAGGACAGGAAGTTCTGGAAGGCTGGGATACATGCAATAGACTCTTAAGCCTCCTATCAGAAAAAATGTCTCCATAAGCCAGGATACAGTAGACAATCTGGCTGAGCCATCTGAGGTCATGGAATCATAAGTAGAATCACTGGTCAGGTGGATATGACATAATATGGCCCCAGAGAAAATTCCTCTCCCTCAAAACCCATCATAGGCTGCAGCAGTTCACTGCAGCCACCCAGATAGAGAGATGAGAGACTCAGGCCTCAGCCTAACAAGCTTACCTCCTGGTGGGCCTGCTCGGGTGGTCCCGCTGCCTCCTGAGAAAGTCGTGGCTTCTGAGAGAGAAAGGAATTGGAGGTATAATGACTACGCATGACATTCTGTGGCCCTCAGAGAATAGACTGCTCAATGGGTCATTATTGGAATTCCTGACCTGTGTGGGCACCTCCAGCTTCCAGAGTTTTTCCAGAGCTGCCCTCAGTAATACCTGAAATAAGAAAAGTTTGTGTGGTCGGTTGGTCAGTTTGTGGTCCTTAATGATATGAGAATAAGCTCTTAAAGGACAAAGAAAAAAAATATTTGCATCCATATACTAAAAATTTACTTTTCTGGGTTTTGTATTTTAAGAAGTTAATCCATATATTGTCCATGGAACATACAGTTTCCTTGGCAAGTTTACAAAAATCACAACTGAGGCCCCTTTTTAATGTTTAGATACAAGGAGATAGATTTAGGCCGAAGTCACCTCTGTAACTATCAGGGAATGGATCCCATGATGACCTGATGAAGTGTCTTTAGGCCCAAGGCACAGATAAAAGGAGGAAAAGTTGAAGTTTATGAACTGTACTTAATGATGTTAAATGTTGAACATCTGCTGAATTTGTATTTAATATGCCAGATATGGGAAATTCAAGGAGTTTTGCTATATTTCTAGCAAGACATGAGAAGCTATTACAAAATACCCTTAGTTCCTTAGGAGAGCTCACCTGTGACTATTTCAGCACTTGTGATTCCACTTTCTCCTACAGAGGTTGTGGTCTCTGCAAAAGAGGAAAAAAGAATAGCAGTGAGGGCAAAGATTAGAAGAATCCGAGAAAAGCATGGTAGGATCACCCAGGCAGGCACCCCACTGAGGAGCCCTTTTTAAGCAGTGGTGCCTCACAGCCTGGTGCTTTACCTGAGTTGGAGCTCCCAGGGGCCACTGTTGTAGCAGAGGGCACTCCAGCTGTGCCTAAGCAGGAAAAAAAGAGAAAGATGGCAACTTTTTTGTAACCCTTAGAAGAAGGTGGTGAGCAACATGCCTGTCTTTGACTTTGGAGCAGGAAAAGACACTTCCTGGACCTATGGAGGACAGGTATATTTTGTGTTTTCTGGCTGCCTTTGCAAGGCCAAGGATAATATTCCTGCCCTGATGATTTATTTTTGCCAGTGGTGAAGGTCATAAAAAAGGCATTTCCAAATTCTACCTGTCTTACTTCCCAGTGCTCCAGTGGTGGCTCCTAATGAAAAGAAAAAGAAGAAGAAGTATGAGAAAGAAAGAAAGAGAAAATTTTGAATTTTTATATCGGAAGTAAAGTATGACAACCTAATGATTTCTATGCTGAATGCTAGTCAATACTATGATGATATACAGACTATGCTCTTCTCAAAGGAAAATAATTTCAGAGCCAAAGCTATTGCAGCTCTCCTCTCCAGAGGCCTAAAACCCTGAAGTTAGTCTCAGAGAAAGGAAAGCCTTCAGGAAATTTGGGCCCACATGTTTACAAATCCAAATCCAAGAAAAAACTGTTTTTCCTGAAGTATTAAATTTTTAAAAGAAATTTAAAACTACACTCCATGTTAAAGTGATTCTTTAAAGGATCATCAATACAGATTTTCTGTAGCTTAAAAACTCATTGTTAAAAAAGTTCCTCTAAGAAATCTATCAAAACACAATGATAAATAATGAATACTGCAAAATATTTACCTGATTTTATTTCAGTTCTCGTGGTACCAATTCCACCTAGGGAAGTTGTGGTCTCTTAAATATGGAAAGAAAACCAAAATTAATTGAGTATTAAGGAAGAGGATGAGCTAAGTGGATGTAAAGACTAGCGATAAGCCCAATTCAAAATGTCTTGTCACCTACTATTAACTCAGAAGAGAAATCCTTCAGACTGTAAACATGTTAGAAACCTTCAATATCCAAGTTTAATTGTTAAAACGGGGAGAAAAAACATTTTCAAATCATATTGTTCTTAATTGAAATTTAAGTGTTTCTTAATTATAACAAGTTATATAGACTTAATTTCAAAAGGTATACAGTCAGAACTCATAAATGATTGACATGCTTATTGTTATTACCATCCTTATTTATTGCTTCAACTATTAGACTTTTCACACGCAAGAATTTTGCCAGTGGCTAAATTAGAAAGTGATAGGAATCAATATCTGAATTCTTTACCCATAATGAGAATGAACATGTCGTATCATGAAGGTATAGGAACTGTGTTTTCTCAATGTGCCAATAAGCTCTTTTCAGAGGTTTCTAGAATCAGGATTTAACATATATATGTTTTCCATGCGCCATTTCTGTCTCAGAAAATTTAATGACAAAACTTTCAATGCCTCAATTATTTCCTTTAGATATCAATGAGAGAAATAAAAACCATTTCTCTCCAACCACACAACTGATTCTCAGTGTCTTAGCTTCATGGTGAAGTCTCCTTGGAATAGAAGAAAGAAAAATAAAGGAATTTGAGTTGAGCCTTTAGTCATTTAGCTAATATCCTGCCTATCTGGTAACCTATGTTCAGAAGACTCTTTACAGGAAGTACGAATACAACATGTGATTCAGGCAATGTCGTCTACTGGGAAGGAGGTAGTGGATTTTCAGTGCTTACTTAAAGTGGTGCTAAGCCCAGACATTCCACTTGCTCCAGGAGAAGTTGTTGCTGCTGGGAGAGGAAGGACATGAATGGAAAAGATTCAGGGGGCAGGGAATGGAATGAAATGGTGGTGCTTCTGCACTGAAACACCCAAAGGCAAACACCATGAAAGGATTCCCCCCCACACTGTGGACTCACCTGTGCTGAAACGTCCCGGAGCAACTGTTGTGCCAGGTGCCACCCCAGAGGTGCCTGCAATGCAAAGGGATTGAGGGGACCATACTGATTCAGTAAGTCAAATGAAGACCCAAATCTTGACGGAATATGCTGTATTTATGTATTTATTTATTTCCTATAACATAAATCTCTCTCTGAGCATGAGGCAGATGGTGAACTATATATATTTGCCTTCTTTCAAAAATTAATAACCAAAGCTCATAGAAAATGTTCCCAACTTCAAGCACAACTACTAATTTCATAAAAGGGAAACTTGATGCATTTTCTCGATGCTCACCTGCTTGTCTCCCTGGGGTTGAAGTGATGCCTACTGTGAAGTAGATAAGAAGAGAGAAAAAAGGTTTAAATGTGTTGAAACTTCATATGTGGGAGAAAATATTGGGAAAGCCAATTGTAAGATACATACATACATATGCATGCATGCACCCTGGTTCCATGGGGCTCTTTCGTACTTCAAGCACATTTGCATGTGTATACACAGAAAACTTTCTGTCTTCCAGCTCAAATGCTGGTGATAATAGTAACACAATGGAGAAATCCCATCCCATCCTCAGCCTCAATGAAGGGAGGCTCAATTTTGGAATTTGTAGTCTTTCAAGAAATATTTCTCCCTAATGACAAATCTATATTTAGTCACTTGCAGTGTCTCTATAAAAACCACAAACACCATCAAAAAAGTTAAGAGACCTAATCTAGATGACCCCAAATTATGGGCTTTTTAGTCTCACCAGTAGTAGTTCTGGAAGTACCAGTCTCTTCAGTGGAAACTGTGGGCTCTGAGGAAAGACATAAAGTAGGGAAGTCCATGAATATGGAATACTAAGAGGAGGTATTGGGGTGTTATCATAGCAGCCCTAAAAGAGGTATCATGACATCTGACAGTAAATATGAGGCACTTTCTTCTTGTTAAGCTATGTGTGTTAGACCTTCCAGATACAGGGCCGGGCGCGGTGGCTCACGCCTGTAATCCCAGCACTGTGGGAGGCCGAGGCGGGTGGATCACGAGGTCAAGAGATCAAGACCATCCTGGTCAACATGGTGAAACCCCNTTTTTAGAGTTTCACTCTTGTTGCCCAGGCTGGAGTGCAATGGTGCAATCTTGGCTCATCGCAACCTCCACCTTTTGGGTTCAAGTGATTCTCTTGCCTCAGCCTCCCAAGTAGCTGGAAATACATGCATGTGCCACCAGGCTCGGCTAACTTTTTGTATTTTTTGTAGAGATGGGGTTTCTCCATGTTGGTCAGGCTGGTCTTGAACTCCTGACCACAGGTGATCCACCTGCCTCAGCCTCCCAAAGTGCTGGGATTATAAGTATGACCAATTGTGCCTGGCCCAGAAGTTTCCTATCTATTGGGAGACTGATATTAGCTGATATTAGCTACAACCAATTATTATTTTAGAGAGACACTTTAACAACCACCTGACCATCACCTGATGGTTACCTGACATTCCGGGAGAGGGAGGCACTCTCTTGACGGATTCATGCCTCTCTAGCTACCTAACATTTCCCCCTTCAAGAGTCTGTGATCCAATACTTGGGGAAAACAGACAGATGTCAGTCTTCTGTAACTGCTTCCTGCTGACAGTAGGACAGTGGTGGTTGTTCCATGGGTCTTGGCTTTTTGCTAGCTGTCAGGCCAGTGTGGCTCTGTGGGTTGGTGAAATCAGTATTCAGCCAGGTTCAAGGGAGATGGGCAGAATTTTGCCTCAATTGTGTCCCACTAATGGGCATTCTGGAGGTCCTCTGTAGAAGGGTGGCTCTTAAATATTGATGGGCCAGTGTCCCACACTGAGTATTATCTCGAGCTTTGTGGCCTAAAAATGAGAAGAACAAATCACATTATTAGATTTAGAAAACCTGAAAAAAAAAAAAAAAAAAAAAAGAACTTCCAGATACAACGACTGTTCCAGAAGATTCTTCAGTGGTACCTAAAAAGCAAAAGAGGTAAATGCAGCAACAGAGCATTTTCTCCCCATTTATGCTTGGAAATATCAGTGTGGCCCTCAAGCACTGGAAGCCCTTCCTGAGGACACCCTCTCTGTGTAGTTAATGGAAAATGAACAACTTCTAGCACTTCATTTTCCAGGCCAACCTGAGATGGAATTTCCCTTTTACTGTGAGGCAAGGGTAGAATAGGGTTTAAAACCTGTTTCTCTTCCAGGGATCTATCCTCCTGATGTGCCATAAGTGCTTACAAGAGGAATACAGCATGATTTTAACCTTATAAGCAGGACTCTTTGAAACAGCTAGGGGCATTTAAATAATCAGTTGACTTCACAGAGCTTTCTAGTGAGGAGAGAGAGGAAATAAACATCATATATAGATAAATAAGAAAAATGATAGAAAGTGTCCAAGTGTGGGTGGAAAGGTAAATTGGGACAACTGGAAATTCTGGAAGGTTGGGATACATGCAATAGACTCTCAAGCCTCAAATCAGAAAAAAATGTCTCCATAAGCCAGGATACTGAAGACAGCCTGGCTGAGCCATCTGAGATCGTGGAATCAAAAGCAGAATAACTGACCACATATAGGACAAAATATGGTCCCAGAGAAAATCCCCCTCCCTCAAGAGCCTTCACATTATATGTTCCCTGTAATCACCCAGCTAGAGAGATGATGGGAGCCTCAGGCCACAGCCTAACAAGCTTACCTTCCGGTGGTCCAGCTCGGGTGGTTCTGCTGCCTCCTAAGAAAGTTGTGGCTTCTGAAAAAGAAAGGAATTGGTTGTATGAAAACTGCACAGGACACTCTGGGACCCCATAAGCTATATTGCCCAAGGGATCATGTTCAGAATTCCTGACCTGTGTGGGCACTTCCAGCTGACAGAGTTTTGCCCGCAGTAGTACCTGAAATAAGAAAGGATTGTGATTAGTTGGTCAATCTGTTGTCATTAATGAAACGGTTATAGACTCCTACAGAAAAAAGAAAAAAAAAAACTTTGTTTTTCTTAAACACACCAGAAAATTTATTTCTCTAGAGTTTCTGTTTTTAAGAGTTAATCCATATATTGTCCATGGAACATACAGTACTTTGGCAGGTTTATAGAGAAAGTCCTCTGCCACGGAGTCCCTTTTTCATGGTACTATTACAGATAGATAGATGTGGGCCCACATCACCTCTGTAACTGTCAGGGAATGGGCCCCAGGATGCCCTGATGACGGATCCTTAGATCCAAAGCATAAGACATAGGGAGGAAATGTTGAAGTGTCTGAACTAAGTTTATTGATGTTAAATATTGATCATCTGCTACCTGTTTTTCTAATATGCCAAATATGAAAAATTCAGACTTTTGCCATATTCTATCAAGATGTGAGAAATTATAACAAAGTACACTTAGTCCCCTAACTGAGCTCACCTGTGATTATTTCAGCTCTTGTTTTTCCACTTTCTCCTAAAGACGTCGTGGCCTCTGCAAAAGAGGGGAAAACAATATCAGTGAGGGCAAAGATTAGAAGAATCTGAAAAAATGGTAGGATCAACAGGCAGTCACCTCACTGAGGAGGAGCCCTGCCCAAGCAGTGCTTTACCTGAGTTGGAGATGCCAGGGGCAACGGTTGCAGCAGAGGGCACTCTAGCTGTGCCTAGGCAGGAAAGAAAAGAGAAAGATCAACATAGAGACACTTTTATGACCCTTGAAAGAATATGGCTGACAGCATGTTTATCTGTGTCTTTGAAGCAGGAACAGGTGCTTCCTGGACCTATAACTGAAAGGAGAGGCATTTTCCACGTTTATCGTGTTCCTTGGCAAAGGTGAGGTTAACGCAATGGCTAATATGCCTGTCTTTATTATTTACTTTTTTTTTTTTTTTGCCAACGTTGAAGGTCATATAAAAGGCTTTCCCCGAATTTACCTGTCTTACTTCCTGGTGCTCCGGAAGTGACTCCTAATGAAAAGAAAAAGAGAAGGAGAAGAAGGAGTAGGAAAGAAAGGGAAAGAAGGAAGAAAAACATTTTTTTAATTTTTATCTCTGAACTAAAATATGAACATCTTAATGATTTCTACACTGAGTTGAAGCTAGTATACTAATGTTATATAGACTATGCTCTTTTCAAAGGGAAAACCATTTCAGAGCCAGAGCTATAACTGTAACCCTCCTCTGTAGAGTCCTAGACCACTGAGGTTAGTATCTGAAAAGGGAAAGCCTTTAGGAAATTTGGGATCACATATTTACTAATCCAAATCCAAGAAGAAACTCTGTTTCCCTTAAAATATTATAGCTTTAAAGAAAATTTAAAACTACATTCCACATCAAAGTGATTTTTTGCATCAATGCAAATTTTCTGAAAATTATTTCAAAATTATAAGCTCATTTAAATTTTTTTTTCTCTATGAAATCTATCAAAATACAACAAAAATATAAATACCCCAAAGTCTTTACCTGATTTTATTTCTGCTCCAGTGGTGGCACCTCCTCCTAAGGAAGTTGTGGTCCCTTAAAGATGAAAAGAAAACCAAAATTAATTGAGTACTAAGGAAGTGGGACGAGAAAGTGGATGTCACTACATGAGATAAGCCCAATTTGAAATGTCTTGTCATCTATTAAGCAGAAAAGAAGACCTCCTGAGTGTCAAAATGATGGAAACCTTCAATATACACATTTAATTGTTAAAATGGGGAGATAAAACTTTTAACTCACATGGTTCTTAGTTGGACCTTAGATATTTCTTAATTGGAATAAGATATATAAAATTCTTAATAAAAAAGAGTATATAATAAGGAACTCATAAATCATAGATATGCTCACTACTATCATCATCATTATTTATTGCTTTAAGTATTATACTTTTCATGTGCAAGAATTTTGCCAGTGGCTACCAAAAATGAACTTGGAACTAGAGAGCAATGGGAATCAATGTCTCAATTTTTCCCCATAATGAAAAGAAAATGGCCTACAATGGGGTAAGCGAGCTATGTTTTCTCAGCATGTCAACAAGGTCTTTTCAGAGGTTCTAGAATCAAGAGTTAATTTATATATATTTTTCATATATTTATATCTCATGGAATATTTGATGACAACTGTTCCAATAACTCAATTACTTCCTTTAGATATCAATGAGAGAAAGGCATTTCTTTCTAATCACCCAACCAATTCTCAGGGCCTTAGCTCCATGCTGAAGTCTCCTTGAAGCAGAGAGAAGGAAGATAAAAGAGTTTGAGGGTCTGACATTTGGTTGTTAGGTAAAATCCTGCCTAACCAGTAATGTTTGTTCAGAAAATGCTCTTCACCAGAGGTACAAACAATAGATGTGATTCAGACAACCTTGTCTACTAGGAAGCAGTTAGTAGTGCATCAGTGCTTACCTGCAGCGGGTCCAGCCCCAGTCATTCTGCTTGCTCCAGGAGAAGTTGTGGCTACTAGGAGAGAAAGGATATAAATGAAAAAGATTCAGGGATCTAGGGATGGAATGGTGGTGCTTCTGCATAGAAGCACCAAAGGAAAGACATTTTTCTATCAGGCACCCAGGAAAGAATTCTGTGTAATTAGTAAAGAAACTGTGGGCTGACCTGTGCTGAAACTTCCAGGGGCAACTGTTATGCCAGGAGCCACCCCAGAGGTGCCCGAAACACATTATATCTCTTTTAGAGTCAGGTCTTCATTCGACTTACTGACCATTGTGATTCAGTAAGTCAAGTGAAGACCTGACTCTAAAATGGATATAATGCATTTCTTTGCTATAACTGAAATCTTTTTCTGAGCTTGTGGCAGAGGGTGAACTACTTGTATTTGCTTGCATTCAACAATTCATAACCAAAGCAAACAGAGAAAAATACTGTTTGCAACTTCAAGTGCTTCTCCTGGAAATTTAATGAAAGGGAAACTGGATGCAATTCCCTAGTGCTGACAGACTTGTTCCCCTGGCACTGCAGTGATGCCTGCTGTGAGACAGAAAGAAGGGGAAATAAGGTTTAAATGTGCTGCAAGCTAGATGTAGGACGAAATATTGACAAGGCAGTTTTATCCATATACAGATACACACATATGCATGCATGCATCTGGTTCCATGGGCTTTTTTTCTATTTCACACACATACACTCACACACACACACACACACACACACACACACAAGGAAAACATTCTGAATTCCAGCTCCAATTCTTTTGATAGGTGTAACACTGCTGGAGACATCTCAACCCATTCTCAGAACTGTAGCAGTGAGGCTCAATTCTAGAATTAGTAGACTTGCAAAAAATGTATTTCTAATAGCAAATCCATTTTTAATTACTTGCAGTGTACCTAAATAAAATGTAAACACTCTTAAGGAAACCTTGATTCCTATCTTGATGATCCAAAATCATAGACTCTTTATTCTCACCAGTTTTGAATCCAGTTCCAGAAGTACCAGTCGCTTCGGTGGCAGTCGTGGCCTCTGAGGAAAAAGAAATGGGTGCATAGTGATATCTGGGAATTTGGAATACTGCAGAGGATATTGGGGTATTATTTTATAATAGCAGCCCTAAAAGAGATATCATGAAATCTGACACTAAATAAAAGGCATTCCCTTCTTATTAAGCTACCTGTGTTAGAACTTCCAGATACAATGGTCATTCCAGTCAATTCTCCAGTGGTACCTAAAATGCAAAAAAAAAGGAAAATGGAGCAATAGATTATTATCTCCCCAGTTAAGCTTGGAAGCATCAATGTGCAGCTCTAAAGCACTGGAAGCCCTTTTCTGAAGACACTGTATCCCTGCAGAGAATGGAAAATGAACAACCTCTGAGCACATGATTTTCCAGGCCAACCTGGGCGGCGTCTGATGCTACTGGGTTTCCCTTTCTCTACGAGGCAAGGGGAGAATAGGGCTTAAATCACCCTTGCCTGTTTCCCTTCCAGAAACATATCCTCCTGACAGAGGTGCCTATAGGAGAAACAAAGCACAGTTCTATATTTATAAGTAGGACTCTTTGATACAACATGAGACACTTTAACAAAGTTGTTCTCATGAAGTGTTGTAGGAGGGGAGAGAGGACACAAACATCATGTGTAAGTAAAGGAGAAAAATGACAGAAAGTGTCTCAAACGTGGGTGGAAAGGAAAACCGGGTAAGGAGAATTGGAAGTCCTGGAAAGTTGTAATATATACAAGATACTCTCATTCTTTGTATCAGAAAACACCGTCTCCATAAGCCAGGACACTGAAGACATGTGAGGTCACTAATTCACAACCAGAATAACTGACCAGGTTGATCTGACACACTATGGGCACAGAGAAAATGAAGGACCTTCCTTCAAATGACTTCACATTATTGTTCACTGCAGCCACCCAGGTAGAGAGATGATAAGAGCCCCAAGCCTCAGCCTGACAAGCTCACCTCCAGGTGGTCCTGCTCGGGTGTTCCCGCTGCCTCCTGGGAAAGTTGTGGCCTCTGAGAGAGAAAGGAATTGGAGGTATAAAGACTGGACAGGACACTCGGGGTTTCCCAAAGCTGATACTGCCTAAGGGGCCATGTTCAGAATTCCCGACCTGTGTAGGCACTTCCAGGTTCCTGAAATTTGCCAGAGATGCCCTCAGTAGTACCTGAAATAAGAAAGGTGTTCAGCTGGTCAGTTTGTTGCCTCTCATGAAATGAGCATGGGCTCTTAAAGAAAAGATAATAACTTTATTTCTTGAATATAGCAGTAAATTTATTTCTCTGGACTTTGTAGTTTAAGAGTTCATTCATATATTGCTCGTGGAACATATAATTCCATCAGCAAGTTTACATAGAAAGTCCTTCACCACTGAAGCCCTTTTTTCAGGGTTTAGTTGCAGAGAGATAGATTCAGGCCAAGCCACCTTTATAACTGCAAGGGAATAAATGGGTCCCATGCCAGCCTGATGAAGAGGCCTTTGACACAGCAAACAAGACACAAGAGGGAATGTTAACGTGTTGGAACGGTATCTATTGATGTTAAATATTGAATTTATGCTAAATATATTTTTAATATGCCAAATGGTGGAAAGAGTTTTGCTATATTTAGCTGAGCTCACCTGTGATTATTTGAGCTCTTGTTTTTCCATTTTCTCCTACAGAAGTTGCAGCTTCTGCAAATGAGGGGAAAGAAACAACACTGAGGGCAAAGATTTGAAGAATCCACGAGTAAGGTTTGATCGCCCAGGCAGACACCCCACTGAGGAGCCCTTCCCAAGCAGTGGTTCCTACCAGCCCGGTGCTTTACCTGAGTTGGAGCTCCCAGGGGCAACTGTTGTAGCAGAGAGCACTCCAGATGTACCTACATGGGAAAAAAGAGAAAGATCAACATGGCAACAATTTTGCAATCCCTAGAAGAATGTTGGCAACAAGTTTGTCTGTGACTTTGAAGCAGCAAATGATACTGTATGGACTTATAACAGAAAGTTATATGTGTTGCATGTCTACCATTTACCTTTGCAAAGCCAAAGTTAACACCATGGCTAATATTCCTGCCAATCTTTGCCAAGGTTAAAGGTCGTATCAAAGGCTTTTTCCATATTTACCAGTTTTACTTCCTA